GCTGATGATGATGATGGTGGTGGCGGAGGTGGTGAGGATGATGATGCTGATGATGATGGCGATGCTGATGATGGTGGTGGTGATGATGATGAGGATGATGATGCTGGTGATGCTGATGGCGGTGATGATGATGGTGTTGATGATGATGGTGGTGGTGATGATGATGGTGATGCTGGTGGTGATTATGCTGATGGAGATGATGCTGACGATGCTGATGCTGATGGTAATGGTGATGATGATGATGACGATGACGATGACGATGACGATGATCATGATGATGATGAGGATGATGATGCTGATGATAATGATGCTGATGCTGATGATGATGATGGTGGTGGTTGTGATGATGGTGATGCTGATAACGATGATGATGATGATGATGATGATGATGATGATGCTGATGATGCTGATGATAACGATGATGATGATGATGGTGGTGGTGGTGGTGGTGGTAGTGCTGGTGGTTGTGATGATGATGATGGTATTGATGATGCTGATGATGCTGATGATGCTGCTGATGATGATGCTGATGCTGATGCTGATGCTGATGATGCTGATGATGATGCTGATGACGCTGATGCTTATGCTGATGCTGATGCTGCTGCTGCTGCTGCTGCTTCTGATGCTGAGGAGGAGGAGGAGGAGGAGGAGGAGGAGGGGGTGGAGGAGGAGGAGGAGGAGGAGGAGGAGGAGGAGGAGGAGGAGGAGGCGCTGGCCATGAAGGCGTCGCAGCAGCCGGCGCGGCGGCCGCGCCGGCGGCGGCGCGGGCGGCAGAGCTGGAGTCGGCGGTGGCGAACCTCGAGGAGCTGGGCGCTGCTGGGGCCACAGCACGCGGGGCGGGGCTCGGGTCCAAGAACGCGGGGCGGGGCCACAGAACGGCGGGGCGGGGCCACAGAACGCTGGTCGGTGGCGTCCAAGAGTAGAGCGCATTGAGCGCGGAAGAGTGGTGTACGTCAGGGGAGGAAAAGGTACCCATACCTCTACCCTCCCCTCGTTTTCCCCTCTTTGGGCCTCCTGGGCCTCCGTCGTCGCCACCGCTGGACTCGCCTCGAAGTTCTGGTCAGAACGCACCCCAGGAGAGGTCCAGGGAGTAGCGGTACCAGCACCTTTTTGTTTCCCCAGTATGGTAGGTTCGTGTCGTGCCGACCGGCGGCGACCCCGCCGCAGGCGTTCCACGTTGCACGCCGGCGGCGGCCCAGGATCGGTCGATGTTGCAGGATGGGACGGTGCGCAAGCGGCCGATCGTGCAAGGTCGAACGATTCCCGCGGTGCCAGGAACCAGCACCCGGGTCGACACGGCACGAACCTGCCGCACGTGCCCTGAAGTCTGGGCAGGCAGTGGCTCTGGCCAGGATCTCCACACCCCCGAGTCCTGGAGAAGGACAGCTGCAGAGAATGTCGGACCTCCGCGCGAGTTCCATGGATCGGCGCTTGGGGCCCCCTCCTGGGTGCGCGGAGCGCGCGGGGGGGCAGACTCGTGCGCCGCCAGGGGGGCCCAGCGCCGATTCAAGAAATGCGCGCGGAGATCCGAAACAGGCTTCCCACCAGGACCACAGGGCGGACACCATGGCCGGGGCTCTGCCCGGCTATCAGGGCCCAGCTTTCCTCAGGGGACGCGTAATTGGGGGGCGATGCATGAGAGGGCAGCGAGGGCTGCAGAAAAGGGCCCTGCAGGGCCTGAAAGTGACACCTTTTCACCCCCCCCCTTCATCGCCCCCCCCGTCAAGCGACGCCCAGCTTCCGCGCGCAATGCGTCCTCTGTGCCCCTCCTTCGCCCGCGCGCCTCGGGCCATGGCTTTGCGAGCCTCCCCCTTTGACGTCCCCTCTTTGGACGCGCCCGATCAGGGCGCGCCGTCGGACTGGCGCGAGAGGGGATCAAGGCGGGTGCATTCCATTCCCGGCGCCGCACAGTCGGACCGAGGTAGAAGATCGAGGTCGGTTCGGGGAGCATACCCTCGTGCTCTTCGTGCTTGTTGGAGGTGTTTATGTTCTTGTGCATCCTGGGGAGGGCCGGGACCCTTGGATGCTCTGGCTGTCTTGGCCGACGGAGGGTCTCCTATGCCTGCGGGAGGCTCTTCTGGCCCAGGTCCGACGGCAGCGTGCACGGCGGCGCCGCCACTCAGGAGCGACAGAAGGACGTACACGTACCCATCGGTCGTTGAAAGTAGGTATTCTTGGATTCCCAGATTCCAATCTACTTTCAGCGCCTTCCTACTTCAATAGTCGAGTGGCTTTCCCTCTTCCTTCCTCTTCAGGAGGCGTGCGGAAACCCAATCTATTTCCAACGCCTTCCTACTTCATGTTTCTACCTACTTCTTCCGACCGATGGGCACATGAATACACGTTGGTTTCGAGAGTGTGCACTGCGCGAATGTTCGTATCACGCGGACGGTCTCGCGGATCGAGGGGCCGTGTTCATGTACACTGGTTGGGCGCGTGCGTCCTTTGTGGGCTCCCTGGCCACGGGGTCGGATCCGTGACGCGGGATCGGGTCCGGGGCCTGGCGCTGCCCGTAGGCAGAGGCGGGGCGGGGTTCGGGGCGCGCCGGCCTCCTCTCGGAAGCGGGGGGCGGCCCCCGCACCGCTCACCGAAGAAGAGGCGGCAGAAGCACGGACTTCTGCGCAGAGTTGCTCGCCGCCTGCTCGGAATCTGCGCTGTTCCCCGGCGGCGCCTGCGGCGCCGTCGCCGATCCAAGAAGCCCGCGCGGACCTCCGAGAATCGACCTTCAGTTATGATTTGTCCCATCCATCCTGTGGTGTTGGGTCCTCGTTTTCAGAGACAGCGCCCCGCGTTCCTCACTCACTACTCCTTCCCCTCCTCCCTCCTCCCTCCTCTCGTCCCTGCTTCTGCCCTCCACATGTCAACCATTTCGGTGCACCCTTCACGCGCTTCGTGAGTCCGTAGAGAGCTCCACCGAAGGCCCCAGTGGCTGCGTTCGCATGGCACCGCCGCGCTCATGTCGGTATACCCCTCACACGTTTCGTGGCCCCATCGGGAGCCCCACTGAAGGACCCAGTGGCTGCGTTCGCATGGCACCACCGCGCCCATGTCGACATACCCCTCACATTTTTCGTGGCCCCATAGGGAGCTCCACCGAATGTTCCAGTTGTTGTGTTCGCATGGCACAGCCGCGCCGACTTCGGCTCGCTCCTCACACGCCTCGTGGCCTCATAAGGAGCTCCACCTGAGGCCCCAGTGGCTGCGTTCGCTAGGCGCCACGGGACCCATTGCGGTACACCATCCCCACGTTTCGTGGCCCCACAGGGAGCTTCACCGAAGGCCCGAGAGGCTGCGTTCGCATGACGCCATCGCGCCTAGTTCGGCGCAGTTCTCACTCGTTCGTGGCCCCACGGAGCGTCATTGAAAACAGTACCCGCAGCGCAGCATTGACGGCTCCATTTGATCGGCTTTTTTGCCAGGATATGTGTTTCCAGATGCCCGTGCATCTTTTTCTGTAAAACGCAGCCTTTCGCAGGCTCAGCGGCTTGGGAACATGACAAGCCACAGCATTTTGGGTTCCCAGAGTTTCCGAAAAAATGCATGTGCTGTCATTGGGGTCCCAGCTTCAGTGCCATGCGCTGCGGGCTCCTCAGCTTGAACGCGTTTAGTCTTACACGGTTTTCCGAATTTCCGATGCACAAAGCATGGTGATCACACGCGCCATTTTTCGGCTTTAGCGTTGGACAACGCACTATCACAACATAACCTGATGAACGGCATCTTTATTAAGGAAGCCTTACCAAACGTGCCCTTATGAAGGACCCTTTATGAGAGGCACCCCTATTAAGGATCCCTGGTTAACACGAGGGATCCTTACTAAGGATATCCCTTCTAAGGATCCGTTACCGAAGGGATCCTCATTCCAGGATCCCTTACTAAAAGGGGTTCTTATCCATGATTCCGTCCTGAAGGGAGCTTTACCAATGATTCCTCGCTAGAGGCATCCTCAGTAAGGGTTCATCACTAGAAGACTATTCCTGAAGGATCCCTTACTTCAGGCATAGTTGCGTTGCCCTCCTCCTGATCCTCCCTCCTCTTGTGCGCGTCCTCTTCCGCTCGTTGGTCTCCTCCGGTTTCACACATCCTCGACGACGCGCTATACGAGTGGCGACCGCAGAGGCGCCAGGCCTTCGTCGCGCTGCCGCGGAGGCATTTTTTTTTGCAGTGGCCGTGCGAGCTGTGTCGCTGTGCCAGCGGAGACGTGGTACAGTCGGGGCGTTGGAGAAGGAACCCTCTCCGTTGGGGAGGGGCTCCGTGTTCCTTAACTGTTTCGCAGCTTGTCTTAGGTGTTCCTTGGGTTTTCGATGGGAAATCGAAGTTTAACTTATGGAAAGTAGGGGCCTCGTTCCTTATTTAGGGTTCCTTAGGTCAACGCCCCGACTGTAACACATTGTGGGGCCGCGCTGCACGTGGCAAAATGTTGTGATCCCATGCCAAGCAACGCCCTGCTCGCCTCCAGGGTGCCCTGGGGTTCTTGGGCGTCGATGGTCTGCTATGTCAAGCGTGGCGCCCCCACACCACACATCAATAGTTGCCCTGGGATCTCGGGGTTGGGTTTCTTGAGGAAGGTTTTGGTGGTCGGATCCTTACTGTAAAGTCCTCACGAAACGCTTCCTCAACATATATTCTTTACTACAAGCGTCATGACCAAGGCGTTGTTATTGAACGCTTCTTTACTAAGGACCCCTCACTACCGTTATCCTTTTATGAGGACTCTCTGCAAAAGGGATCCGAAATGCGGATTATCCAGTTAAAAGGGGTCCTTCCTGAGGAATGTTTGTTGAATGGAGTCCTGATGAGGTATCCCCTACTTACACGGATCCTAACTGAGGATCTTATTCCAGGCATCTTTGCGAAGGACTCCTCATTCAAAGAACGCTTACTGAGGAGTCCTCACTGCAAGGATCCTTATTGAGGGAGTCCTTACTGCAGACATCCTTAACCTGGATTCTGTATCTCAAGCATCCTCAATAAATCATGCGTATTGTTCGGATATGTTACGATGGTTCTCTCACTCAAGACATCCTTAATAAGGACGCCTTACTAAATGGATCTTACTAATACTTCATTTGTCCAAATGGATACTCCATGCAGACTCGTCAGTAAAGCCGTCCTTACGAATGATCGCTTGATAAACGGATCCGTACGAAGGATTCCTCATGAACAACAATCATCCTTACCAAGGATTCTGAAGACAATATATCCTTATTCAGGAATCGTTGTCATAAAGGCACCGTGACTGAGAAATTCTTCATTTTGGGGTCCCCGCTGAGGGTGTCCCTACTCCAGGCATCCTCATTCAGTTTTTGTTTGCAGAAGAGCTTTTTATTACCGAGTCGTTGACAAGGTTTCTTAGTACAAAGGGGGGTCCTTACCCAGCTTCCCATATTTAAGGAATCATTGCTAATGATCCTACACCACAGGCATCCTAACTGAAGGATGCCTTACTGAAGGACCTCCTCATACAATGAAATTGGCAACATCCCCAACCATATGCAGCTGTGAGTACCGCATTTGTGAACATCGTCTTCGGTGGATCTCCTCGTGGTGGCACGAACCGTGTGAGGGGGATGCCAACGTGGAATGGCGGCGGCACGCGGGCGCTGCCACTGGGGCCTCCGGTGGAGTTCCTTACAGGGCCGTCGGCGTGGATCCCTTGTTCTGTGACCAGTTCGATGGGGGGTAGCGCGACAAGCTAAACCGTCCAAAATTGTCCATCCCTTCTTATGCTCCCTCTGTGCCCGCGCATCCCGAAGCCCAAGGCTGAGGACGCAGCGCAGCGCGGAGTCCCCGCGACGCGCGCCGGTCGCCCCGAATGGGTCCCAGCGACGCGCGGGGGTCGTCCGCTGCGCGGAGCTGCCTTGCTGGCCGACTGCGGGCAAGTCTCTGGCTGCTGGACAGAGCGACGACAGGCGAGCGAGACGCTGGGCAGAGCGCAGCCTGGAATTCCCGCGACGTTCGCTGATCGCTCCGCGAGGGTTCCAGCGACGCGCGCGGGTCGTCCGCGGCGCGGGGCCAAACGGCCAGACCGTCGAGAGAAGGCGAGGCCAGGGCGGGCCGCTCCCCTGGTCAGGCCTCGCGGATAAACTCGATGAAGCCCAGCTCTTTGGCGAGGCCCGTCGCCTCCCTCCGGCGCCGCTTCGTGCGCGCCGCAAGCTGCTCCGGCTGCTCTCGCAAACCTTCCGGCGGCCTTGCCAGGAAGAGCTCGATCCGCGGCGCCCGCGTGAGCAGATGGTCCTCGTGGCGCGTGGCGCGCGAGAGCAATCCGTAAAGCTCCAGCCGCCAGTCGTCGTCCTCCTTCTTGCCGCTGCCGACCTCGTGGCGGCCGTAGTCCAGGATCACGCCTGGGCGACGTCGGCCTAGGGGGCGGCGCGCCCGACAGCCGACGGCCCAGGGCGAGAGTCTACAGGGCCGAGAGAAGTTCTGGCTGCGGACCGCTCGCGCCCAAGCTAAGGGGCCGCGAGGATGGGGCCACGAAGCGCTGGGCGCAGGAACCGCGCGCGAATTCGGCAGTCGGGACCGTCGGTGGAGTCCCCTATGGGGCCACGAAGCGCTGCGCTGGGCGCAGGAACCGCATGCGAGTTCCGCCTCTGGGACCTTCGGCGGGGCTTCCTTCGGGGCCCCGAAGCGCTGTGCTGGGCGCGGGAGCCGCGCGCGAGTTCCGCCGCTGGGACTCTTCTTTGGAGCTTACGCTGTATGGAGCGCAGGAGCCGCATGCGAGTTCTGCCTCCGGGACCTTCGGTGGAGCTCCCTATGAGGCCACGAAATTCGTTGTACTGGGCGGAATTGCATGCGAGTCCCGCCGCCGGCACCTTCGGTGGAGCTCCCTATGGGGCTACGAAGCACCGCAATGGGAGCAGAAACCGCATGCGAGTTCCGCTAATGGGACCTTAGGTAGAGCTACCCGACTGGGCCACGTAGCGCTGTGCTAGGCGCAGGGATCGCATGCGAATTCCGCCATTGGGACCTTCGGCGGAGCTCCCTTTGGGGCCACAAAGCGCTGCACTGGGCGCAGGAACCGCATGCGAGTCCCGCCGTTCGGACTTGCGGAGGAGTTCCCTACGACGCCACGAAATACCGCACTAGGCGCAGGAACTGCATGCGAGTTCCGCCACTGGGACCTTCGGAAGAGTTCCTTATGTGGCCACGAAACACCGCTTTGGGCGACCTTCGGTGGACTTCCGTATTGGGCCACTGAACGGCGGACGCAAGAACCGCATGCGATGTCCGCCGCCAGGATTTATGGTGGGCCTCCCAATGGGGCCACGAAGCGCCGTACTGGGCGCTAAGGACGCATGGATGATAATAGAACGATGCAAAGTTGATGACGGTGACGGTGATGATGACGATGCTGATGATGATTATGATGATGGTGGTGGGAGGAAGGGGAAGGGAGGAGGGGGAGGTGGAGGGGGGAGGGGGAAGAGGAGAGGAGAGGACAGGAACGCGGGGCACCCAAACAGAGGACCCAACACATGATGGTTTGGACAAGCAACATTTCGAGACATGTCTCGTTCAGGAGTTCCTAACGCAAGAATCTGTACTACAGGCATTTTTGACGAAGGATATGTTTTATGCGTGCTTACAAAAAAACGCCCTTACGGAAGACATCCTTGGCAAGGTCTCTTTACGAAAACCACCCTGAACGGATAGTTAAACAAGGACCCTGACGACCGACGAGCGAACAACACACACACATCCATACCCGTAGGAGGGTCGGAGGTAGGAGGACTGGCTATGGGTATGTATGCGAGTTGTCGGGCCCTGGGGGAGGCTCCCGCTCGAGCGGGGGCCCCCCATCCGACAACACTCACCCATAGCCTCCTCCGTCCCCTTTTGTGGGTTTGTGTGTGTGTGTTGTTCGTTCGTGAATGAAGGACTGCCCACTAAAGGGAATTTGAGTACAGAAGACTCACTGAAGGAAGGCGTACTTCGTGAACGCACCCTGGGATATTTACTTAAGGTCGCTCGCTCTCAGTAAGGTGTCCTTACCGAAGAATTCCGAGAGCCCCAGAGAGCAAGCTGCAGAAGGGATCGCTGACATTCCCTCGTTCAGGCATCCCTACGCAGGGCTCCTTCCTAAACGGATCCTTCTTAGGGACTCCTCACTCAGGGGATCCTTTCCCAGGAGCCTCGTACCAAAGAGCAGCGAAGCGACAACAACGCAGGGGGAGGTTCGAGCCCCGAGCCGGCGAATGCACCGATCCTTGCCCCAGCCCGGCCTGGTGGATCATGGTCATCCTCTGTCTCCCGGGCCCTGCGAAGCCGCGGGGCCCGGTCCTCGCGCCCCGTATGGGACTGCCCTCGTGCGAGCGGGGTGGCCGGTCTTCACTTCGTTTATTTTTCTCGGGGGCCCCGGTCGCATGGTACTCCTCGGACGGGAGCAGGGAGGGCGTTTTCCTTGCGCCCTGTATGGGACTGCCCTCGTGCGAGCGGGGTGGCCTGACTTCACTTCGTTTACTTTTCTCGGGGGCCCCGGTCGGATGGTGCTCCTCGGACGGGAGCAGGGAGGGCGGAAGGACTGCCCCCGTCGTCTTTGCCTCCGTCGCAGGAGGGCCATCCTCCCCCGTTCCGTCCTTCCCCAGTCCCATCCCATCCTCCCCACTCCCGTCCTAACCTCGTTCCTCGCTTGCGGCGGAAAGGAGGACAAGGGACGGAGGAGGGGGGGACTCTTTTGGGGCGCCGTTGGTGGCCTGTGGGGGACCTTTCTGGGGGCCCTCTTGTGGCGATTGGGTGTCCTTTTGGGGGTTTTCGGGGTCGTCTGAGGGATCTTGGGGTCGCCTGAGTGCGTCTTGGGCGTCTTGTGGTCGACTTGGAGGTCTTACGCAAGCTAGTTTGGGGCCATCATGGGACTCTTTACGTTGACAATCAGGCTCGGGGAGGCTCGGATCAGCGAGCCATCATCATGACAGGAAGGGGACGCCCGCGCTCGCTCGCCGTGAAAAGGCCCGCCCGAAGTGCGCTTGAATCATGCGAGCAGAGCGCGTCGGCGACAGCGGTTGCTGTTGACTCGGTTTCTTTCTTGCTTGAGTGCTGCTGAATGGCCGGGCAGCGCGGGGTGCTCTCCATCGAAGAGTTTTTGGATCGAAGGGTCGACCACAGCGAGCGCGATTCCACGTCTGCGCTCGTAGCGGGGGACGGGCTGGAGTCGACCGCCGATCTGGCGCGTGTGTTCTGCTCGGCGGATGAGGCGGCACGGAGCGGACTGTCTACGGCCTGGGGCGTGGCCCGGGACGTGGCGCGCGTGGCACCGCGGTCGGCGCCAGCGCGCGACGCTGGCACGGCGCGCTGCTTGCGCGCCGATGCGCGCGGGGGTGTCGGTGTCGAACCTCCCGCAGCGCGCGCGGGGGGCCGCGGCGGGGGCAGGGCGCGATCCCCCCGCCGCGCGCGGCGGGGGCGCGAAAGCGCGGCAGTCAGCACGCGGCGCCGCGGCGGCCACGGATGGTGCCGACTGCGGCGGGCGCGTCCCGCCTGGCGATCAGGGCCCTTCGGTTGTCGCTGAAGTGGCGCCCAGAGCGGCCTCGGGCAGGGGCTACAGTCGGGGCCCTGAAGAAGGAACCCTTTTCGTTGGGGAGGGGCTCCGCGTTCCTTGTGTGTCGCAGCTTGCCTCAGGTTTTCCTTATGTGTTCGATTGGAAATCGAAGTTGAACTTAAAAAGGGGCCTCGTTCCTTATTTAGGGTTCCTTAGGTCAACGCCCCAACTGTACCAGCGATGCCTCTTCCGCCGCTGTGTCCAGGTCGAGCTGCAACGATTCGGCGACGCTGCGTGCGGAGGCTGCGTACAGGCGGGGGCAGTGGGCTGAGTGTGCGGACCGACAGGAGCAGCCAGGTTGTTTGCTCGTGGGAGGCTGCTCGGGATGGCCCAGGGCCATCGAAACATCTTGTGGAATCAAGCTTGAGCAGGGGCAGGAGGAGGAGGAGAAAGTGGACACATAATCTGCGGAGGATGAGGCGGCGGAGTGGAAGGGTGGAACATGAGGAGGTACCAGATGTTGTGCCCCGAATGTCGCGGTGCATTTCATGCCCCCCCAGGAGGCGGTGTCGACGATGCAAGATCAGTTGGGCATGCTGATCACCATTGTCAGGCGGCTATGTGTCGACTCGCCCTTTCCAGCCGCCGCCCTCCTACTCTTCAGCCTTGTCCTTAGTATCGTGCCTTTCCTGCTTCCTCGTCCTCCATCCTCCCCCAACGCCGCCTCCCGGCTCTTCCGCCCCTGTCATGCTCCTTCTGTCGCCCGTGCACCAGCCTCCCCCCCCTTAGTCCTCCTTTTCCTCTTCTTTTTGTTTCTCCTCCTTTTCCTCGGTCCTCTTCCTCTTCCGGAGCCGACTGGTAGGGAAATCCACCCCAAGAGCAAGCACATGTTTGCACATGTTGGAAGTTCGGCGGGCGCGCAGCCAACCCGAGGGTTCTTATTCCCAGCCTCCTCCGCCACCACCACCTCCTCCTTCTCCTTCTCCTCTTCCTCCTCGTCCTCCTCCTCTTCCTCCTCCTCCTCCTCCTCCTCCTCCTCCTCCTCCTCCTCTCCTCCCCCTCCTTATCTTCCCCCCCCCCGGCAGATGGCGCCATGTGGCCAAGAGTGGCAGCGAAGGGGTGTTTCCCAGCGGCTTTGTCTGAGGTGCATCGAGGGTTTGTTAGATTGGAGGAGTTGGGAGGCTTCCCTGAGGCTTCTGGGGGGTTTCGAAAAAGGATTTCGGATAACTTTCGGAAGGCTTCGGAGAGGATTCTGAAAAGGTATTTGAAAGGATCCGGAGAGGTTTCCAAGAGGTTCCCGAGGGGGGCTCCTGGAGGTTTCCGCAAGGTTTTGCGAGGACGTGTACATTTTTCTTCCGGCGAGGACCATCGAGGAGCAACCTTGATCTTTTGGCGGAAAAAAAAACACCACGCACGAAACCGAACAAAAACACAGGGAATGGACGTCCGAGCGATGGCCAGTTCGTTGTTGTGGCTCCCCCCAAAACAACGTTTGCACTTACAGGCCGGGGTGTCGGCCAGGCCAGCTACAGCTGCCGCCGTCGCCGCCCACCGCCACCCGTGCCGCCGACCACCGCCGCTTGTGGGCCCGGGTGTCGCTCGCCGCGCTTCTCGCCGCCGTCGCCGCCCGTCGCTGCCTTCCATCGCCGCTGTTTCTGGACACGACAAGGACGGCGTCCCTCTGACCGAGGAGCAGAAGCAGGAGAGGGCGCTGAGAGTCATGAGGGAAGAGGTGGCGTTGCACGTCGACACTGCGGAGTACGACGCCCAGGCGCGGTTGTTGAAGCGGCACGACTATGGGACCACGATCCTTGTGAGTGGTGTCGGTCGCCGCGCTTGTTGCCGCCGTCGCCGTTCGTTCGCCACTGTTTCTTGGCCTGGGTGTCGGTCGCCGCGCTTGTTGTTGCCGTCGCCGCCGTCCGTCGCCGCTGTTTCTTGGCCTTGGTTTCGGTCGCCGCGCTTGTTGGCCCCGTCGCCGCCGCCTGGCGCCGCTGCCTCTGGCCTTGGGCGTCGGTCGCCGCGACTGTTGCCGCCGTCGCCGCCCCTCGCTGCCCCGCTGCGCCCCCCCTCCGTTGCGTTGCAACCGATTGCAAACCGTGGCGCCACGTCGATTCAACCGCATATTTAGCTTGCGCCGCATTGTGCGCACCACGTATACTTCAGTCACACAATGCGCACCACGCGCATACATCGATTGACGTATGCTAGCCAGCGTGGGGCCCGCACATTTTGTTATAGCGTAGTACGTGGGTCAGCACATGTGGTGCAACATGCGCGGTGCAAACTTGGTGGTGTAAGCCATGTGGTGCAATCTGCGTAGCGCGCAATCCAGATGGTGCAATGTACGCAAAACCATATATGCGATGTAAGCTGGGCGGCGCAATACATGTGGAGCTACCGTGCGTATCCACGTTGCGTGAGCTATGTAGTGTAATGTACGTGGCGCAGTATATGGGGTCCGATATTTGGGATGCAGTGCACTTCGTGCAAGATATGTAGCGTTCGTTGTGTGTTGTAATCTACGTGGCGCAGCCTACGTAGTGCAACCCACCCTGCCGAATTTGTAGTTGTCACTTCCAGTGCTCGCGCAAGTATCCCACCCGCCCGCCCGCAACTTGATGTGCAATACCTGTGCGGGGGCGACTGTGATGACTGTTCGGCGCTGGCTGGTGCATCGCGTCGACGCGCCATCGCGCATACTCGCGCGCGGGGCGGCCAGCTATACTGTCGCAGCCGACGTGGCGGCCGCGGTGGCGCTGACCGCCGAGCCTCTCCCAGCAAACACTTCAGTTCGAGATGGCGGCTTCGGCGGGCGCGGTATCATGGCAACGCCGACACCGGTAGGCGCGATGATGGTCACAGTGACGCTGGTGACAAATATGACAACGACGACAAAGCCACTGACGGCTCCGATGCTGATCGCGGTGGCGACGGTGACGGCGCTTTCGCGTCGGTGATGGTTTTGGAACGAGTTTGACATGCGCGCGCGGCCGACGCGCCAATCTCCACCCGCATGGTATTAGTTGACACTGATCGTGCCCCCTCTGCATTCGCGAATGGGCGCCCGAATAATTTCGACTTGCGGCGCGAGGAATCCGTTTGGTTGAATTCGAAGAACATGTTGAACGACCTACGGTTTTTCCCAAGAATTTGTAGGAGCGCGAGCGCAGGCATTTGTGAACATTGATGTTCCCAGACCATGTGTTTCACATGTCTTCGGGGCGCTCGACCATGACATCCCCACGAAACCAAGGGATCTTCACGCATTTCCGCATGCGCTCGCGACGACGCGGGCGTGTGCACTTCGTCCCCTCTTATGGCAAGGGCTTTTTTATTACAGCACGCGCGCAATGGTTTTCGAACGATTTCGGCATGCGCGCTTGAAAGGCACGTTCGGTAGCATTCGATGAACATGTGCGAAACAATTGTTTTGCTCGCTTTCCTTCCAAATCTGCAAGAACGGTGTGCCGTTTGTCGTTTGCGACTTCCATGTGTACATGTTGTTGGTGCATTCGGTTTTGACGACTTTATGGGACCTTGACGTTGCGAAGGTTCTCGGCATGCGCGCGCGACGAAACGCGCGTGTACAGTTTGATCAATCAGTGCGAACGGTGTTCGGTATTTGTTGGTTTGATGAGCGAATGCGCGCGCAATGTATGTTTCAAAAGAGGGGACACCCGTTTGGTAAGGATACCACCGTTCATTCGTAGGATGGACGATATGGGGCAACATCGCAGGCAACATATAATACGCGAAAGGGGAACTGTTAAGTCCTAGGGATAAAAAAGGGGTGTTCGCAGGGTCGTGTGTATATATGGCGTGAGACACGTATATATACACACATATATATATATATATATATATATATATAGTGTGTGAGCGACGTGATATGGTGCGAAATGCGGTTTACTATTGTACAGCAGGTCGCGTATATACATATATGTGTATATATACATATATATATATATGTATATGTATATGTATACACATGGTGTGGAAATGCGTGGTGTAGTTCACGATGAACGTCAATCTATGTGGTGCAAACTAAATGCTGCAATATATGCGGTGCACGGTGAGTGCGTAAAATCTGTTGGGGCGTATTGTGTGAAGCAATCGGTGTGGCGTAAACTTGTGTGTGGCGTGCGCCACGCGGTGTAAGCTATGCGGTGCTACGTGGCGCAACGTACGTGGTGCAGTTCGCAAGGTGTAAGCTATGTGGTTGACACTATGCGGCGCAATCGGTTGCAATTGATTGCGCGGGACTGCAATGCAACGGCGGGGCGGTACGACGGACGGCGGCGGCGACGGCTGCAATACGTGCGTCGGCCGACACCCAGGCCCAGAAGCAGCGGCGACGGGCGGCGACGCTGGCAACAGACGCGGCGACCGACGCGCGGGCCCGAAATCAGCAGCCACGGGCGGCGACGGCGGCAACACACGCGGCAGAGGCAGCGGCGAGGGACGGCGGCGGCGGCGGCAACAAGCGCGGCGACCTGGGCCCAGAGGCAGCGGCGACGGACGGCGACGACGGCGGCAACAATCCAGTTGGACCGACACCCACGCCCACCCCCCTATAATACAACTGGGTGCTCCTACGTGCAACCGCCGCTTCGTGAATGTTGCGCCATGTAAATGCTTCGCGCGCGCGCGGGTTTATCAAAACACACCTGTGCTCAATAGCCCCTTTGCAGCACAAAGGCAAGACAACGTGTACACGCGCGCGTCCTCGCGCGCATGTCGAAATCATCCAAAGGGTTCCTCAATAATTTCAAAACTGAGTGCCCCGAACATCTATAAGCAACACGTGGTATCGTAACCAAAAATCTTTAACAACAATGTAATCGCGTTCCGACTTATGCTGATTCTTAAGCGTCACTTGTTTCATCACATTCTACCAAACCCGCCCTTCTTTTGCGCGCATGTCGAAATCGCCCGAACGCCCTTGCGCGCGTGTTGTCGCAATAATCCCTTGCAGCATATGGGACGGCATGCGCACACGCGTGTCTTCGCGCGCGCATGCATAACCATTCGGACCTGTTAGGTGCCGTAGGGTTTCAAAACCGAGTGTCCCGAAGTCATGTAAACACACATGGTTTTACAGCATCAGTATTCAAACATGCCTGCGCTAGCGCTCCCGCGAATTCTTTGGAAAACCATGTGGTGTTCAACATGTGAATTCAGTTCTGTCAGGCGGGCATCTTTCGCCGCATATAGAAATCGTTCGGACGCCCCTGCGCGCGCTGGGAGGGCACGACCCGTGTCCAATCATACCATGCGGGCCATTCGCGCGTCGGCCGCGCGCGCATGTCGAATTTCTTCCACGACCTTCATCACCGACGCGAGGATGCCGTCATCGTCGTCGACGTGATCAAGCGCCCGCCGAAGTCGCCGACTCGCACTGAAGTGCCCGCCAGGGCCCACCAGCCAGCGCCGCCGCGGCCGCGTCGGTCTCGCCAAACTAGCTGGCCGCTCTGCACGCGAGCATGCTCGGGTCAGCGCGGCCGCAGAGGCACACCAGCTAGCGCCGAGCAGTCACCGCAATCGTCGCCGCTCGGGTTTTGTAAACCAAGTTGCAAGCGGGTGGGTGTGATGATTGCGCGAGCAGTGAGGCTG